ACAATCGCAAACAAGTGTTTATATTCAGCTTTCATTTCAACTTTCGAAGCCCTTAGTTGGCGTTATAAAGTAATAGCTTTTGTTTGAGTCGAGCCAACAGAAGGGCTAAGGGGACGTCTGCTTGCAACTTTCAGTCATCGAAAGTTGCAAGCTAGCATGTGTGTGTGACAGAGAGAGAGAGAGAGAGAGAGAGAGAGAGAGAGAGAGAGAGAGAGAGAGAGAGAGAGAGAGAGAGAGAGAGAGAGAGAGAGAGAGAGAGAGAGAGAGAGAGAGAGAGAGAGAGAGAGAGAGAGAGAGAGAGAGAGAGAGAGAGAGAGAGAGAGAGAGAGAGAGAGAGAGTATTTGTGTTTCTTTTATATGCGGTTCGCTCCTTCCCCCTACTACTCTTTTTAGTGCTCTCTCTCTCCTTCCCCCCTCCCTCCCTTTACTTTCCTTCCTTCTCACCCTCCCTCCCTCCTTCCTTCTCTCCCCCTTTCTTTTCCCCCATCCCTCCTTTCCTCCCTCCTTCCCTCTTGCATACCCTCCATCCCTCGCCCCCGCCCGCAATGTGTTAAGGCTGCCATATTGTTGCGCAGCAGTGGGGACAGATCGGCGGCGCTGTTGTCGAGATCTCTCCTCGCGTTCTTTTGCGATTTCGCGTTTCAAGCCGATTCTCTCTCTTCGCACTTCCTTTCTTTCTTCCTTTTTTGTTTTTTCCGGGTTTGTTGTTGTTTGCGTTTTTTCTTTCTTCCGTTTTCATATTATTTGAGGATGTCTAGATGTTTTTTGCATTTCCTCCTTTCATCTTTCATCTTCTCCTCCATCCCCCTTTTCCCTTCCTTCTACACCATTTTATCTCTCTAGACCTCCTCCTTCTCCTTCTTCCCCTCCCACTTCTTCTTGTCTTCCTCCTCCTCCTCCTCCTCTTTCTTCCTCCCCAACTTCTTCTTGTTTTCCTCCTCCTCCTCCTCCTCCTCCTCTTATGCATTCTTTATTACGGACAGAAAATGAGTGTGAGAGAGTGAGTTAGTGAGCGAGAGAGAATGAGAGAGAGAGAGAGAGAGGGGGGGGGGGCTTTCCTCCGCTTCGCCAGAAATCGAAACCCGCCTGCATTGGCCTTATCTTCGCCGCAGCTGCTTGACCTCGGCGGAGATAAGGTCACGGGGCGTCCGCCGGGGAGGGAGCAGAGCCCTGACCTTTCTCGGAAGAAGGTGCGGAGGAGAGATTGGTAATAAGCGAAGGAGACTTGGGAAAATCACGAGGAAGAGAGGGAAAAAGTGGTCTGTGGAGAAGTGAGTCACGGGATGTGATGAGTAACAGAGGAAGGGGAAGATGGAGGAAATGAAAATGGAAATAGAGAGAGAGAGAGAGAGAGACTGAAAAAGAATCGATCGGCTGAGGAATCGGATAAGAATTAGAAACCGATAAAAGAAAAAGAAAAAGAAAACGAAACAGAAAATAATAAAGGAGCAGGGAAATAGTAAAAAAAAAGAAGATATATACAAAAAACTTGCAGTACCTGAGTGCCTCCCCCCGCTCCCCCACGTCCGGGTCAGAGTGTTGACTTCCCACGCCCATGGGGAAGGTTGCGGGCGCAGGGGGGGGGGTCACGGAGAACATATTACTAGTCTTGCTATTGCCATCATTGTTGTTGCTGTCGTTGTCGCTGTTGTTGTTACAGATTCTGCTGCTTTTGTAGTCTGTGATGATGTGATCGCACCCATTGTTGCTGAGGTTTTTGTTATTTTTTCCTTAAATTGTTCACATGTATTATTAGAACAATGAAGTTTTTATATGAGATATATAGATGGATAGGCAGACAGACAGGCAAGCAGGTAGACAGGCTGCCAGATAAGCAGACATACAGAAAGGCAGGCATGCAAACATGCAGGAAGGCAGGCAGGCAGGCAGGCAGGCATACAGGAAGGCAGGCAGGCATAAAGACAAACAAACCGACAGACATCGGGAGAGTGAGAGATAAACCCGCGGGCGGGAGGAGCGCCGCCCGGACGCCGTGACGAAACCTCCTGCACGACGGGACATTCGGGCAACGCGATCGACTTCCTGCGCCTCCGGAGCCGCCGGGTGAGGGCCGGGGCGCTCTTCGGCCGCGCCCTTGGCCCACTTGGGCGCTGCGGTCGTCGTCGTGGGCGGGCGTGTGTGTGCGGGGGTGGTGGGAAAGCTTATGGTGTGTGATGTATGGATATGTGTTGGCGTGGTTTGTATTCTCCGGTCTTTGGCAGTTGACGCAGTTCTATCACATTATTTTACACAGTGTTTCTCCCTTCTACTTCTCCAGCTCCCTTCCAAAACACTTGACTAACCCGTTTCCCTTCGCCCTCAGGAGAGCAGTGCGGGCGCCCGGGCCGCCCCGTGAACGGCACGGTGTCCACGTCGGGCCGCTTCTACTTCCCCGGCGAGCGCGTGGCCTACAAGTGCCTGGAGGGCTTCGTGCTCTTCGGCGCCGACGAGAGGACGTGCCACAAAAACGGCACTTGGAGCGACGAGGTGCCGCTCTGTG